AGCTCGGTTTTCCGCTCGGCCGCTACGGGCCGAGGAAGTCGGTCTTCGCCTGAGGGCAGGACGGAGGTCAGCGAGGGAGCGCGGGGTCAGCCAGGTATCGCCCAGTGCCGAGCAGATGCCGCTCCCTCCCCTCTCTTCCCCTCTTCTCCCCTCCCCACCTCTGTATAGATGGGGAGGGACCGAACTGCCAATGACATGCGAGCGGTCAAGGCCGCTCGCGCGGCAGCGACCCTGGCGGCCGGGTGCCGCAACTGGGATTCAGCCAAGTTACCGATTCGCCTCCTGTGGGAGAGCCAAACCAGGGGACATACTTTTTAGACATACTGTACCTGTCTCGCGTGGATGGTATCTTCAAGCATTTGCTATGGGAGACCGAAAACGAGAGAAAGCAGATGAGAGTGACGTCATTATGAATTTCCACGAAATCCCCTCTTGTTTGGTGTCATTCTCAGTCACCTGTATGCAACAATACATGTTTTATGCGAGTTAAAAATGTTTCCATCATTTTTGGTCCACCCTGTACATCCTTTGGCTAATAAGTAATAATACTACATTATAGTTCTTATTTTTTCGGTGCCCGTGCTTGCTTCTTGTACACAATGGCCGTGGGGGATCGTTGCTCGGTGTGCTTTGTGCTTTGTAGGAAAATATATAACAGTTTCATGGGAAAGGATATTCTACGATGTTCTTTAATTTTATGTTTTATTTGATTCCAGGCAAGCGTCCTGAAAGCGAAGAAGAGGCCGTATCGCTGGGATGACGACACAATCCACCGAGCTGTGGAGATCCGCGCGCACGCCTCGAGGAGGCTATACTGCTGGCTGCGGGAACGTTATCTGCCGCTGCCGAGTCTAACAACCATCCAGAACTGGCTATCCAGGATCGTCCTGGAGCCGAAGTCATCAAAGACTCAGCTGATCCTGCTGGAGAGGCTCTTGGCGACCATGCCTGAGAGAGATCGTCACTGCACGATCATGATGGACGAGATGGACATCATGGGGCTAGTTACATACGACCAGCAGATGGACCAGATGTTGGGCCCTTTCAAGCATCTCCAGGTGTTTCTCGTCTGTGGCATCTTCAGTTCCTGGAAACTGCCGGTGATGTTTGCCTTCAACCAGCCCGTGACGAAGGAGCTCTTCCTCGACCTGATCGGGGGTGTATAGAAGGCTGGAGGTCGAGTTGTCGCAGCCGTCAACGACATGGGCTCCGGCAATCTCGGCCTCTGGCGAGCTCTGGGTGTTGGACATGACACCAGGCCTTACATCCTAAACCCCGCAGACCCCACCAGGTAAGACTGTAAAATTCGCAATCTGATTAGAAGTGGCCTAAAAGTTTAAGTAACAGATCGTAAATCCTGAACGAATGCGTGGTCATGTAGAAATTCCTTTGCAAAACACTAAAAACCAGCCACTCTACCTCCCCCTCTCCTACCGGCTCCTCCCCTCCCCCCGCCACGCGTTGGACACTGGGCCGGGCTGGGCGGCGGATCAGGCGACCGGTCAGCTGACCTGCCCCCGGGCGATGAGCACGTGACTGGAGTCCGCCCGCAGCCGCCCGCCTGAGCCATGGAGAGGGCAGTCGCTGTCTGTTACCGGTTGGAGCCATATGTGTTCACGACTGATTTGTGCCTGAATTCACCTATTACAAATATACTCATCAAGAGATACCTACCTACGAGAACATCGAGTGATCTACCTACGCGGTTCGTCCCGGCAAACCTACGCGGGGAAGTACCAGTGAGACCGACCAAATCACAGGACCGACGACTTCGATACAAGATCTACGTCAAGGTAAGCCCGGCCTGTGTCTGTGGCGGTCCAACTTTCCCCTCGAATTCTCATCCCTACATCATTACCCTGTCAAAACCAACGTCAAAGAATAATTTTCTGTGTGCCCCTCGTACAAATCCGTACATAGAAAAACTGTGATTTGATCGCAAACTGTGATTTGGCCCCAAACTGGGTTAAAGTTGAACTTGACGAAACAGATAGAAATAAACTGAAACAGCCATATTTAAACTGAGCTGCACAGTGCAAGTTACTCAATCTGTCACTGATTGCAAGATTGTTAAAAGCTCAATATCAACTGTTATCAAACTGCATAGAATTGTCGTCTAACCTCAAGTGTAAGGATCAACGAGAATTGACCAGCTGATCTCAGGGAAGTTGTGAGCTAGTCTGACAGAGGAAGCTGACTCATCAACGTCAAGATCCTGCTGCAGTCTGGTCTTCAGCACCAGCACCCTGCTGCAGTCGCTTCATCAACGTCAAGATCCTGCTGCAGTCTGGTCTTCAGCGTCAGCACCCTGCTGCAGTCGCTTCAACATCAAGACCCTGCTGCAGTCGCTTCATCAACGTCAAGATCCTGCTGCAGTCTGGTCTTCAGCGTCAGCACCCTGCTGCAGTCGCTTCATCAACGTCAAGATCCTGCTGCAGTCTGGTCTTCAGCGTCAGCACCCTGCTGCAGTCGCTTCATCAACGTCAAGATCCTGCTGCAGTCTGGTCTTCAGCGTCAGCACCCTGCTGCAGTCGCTTCAACATCAAGACCCTGCTGCAGTCGCTTCATCAACGTCAAGATCCTGCTGCAGTCTGGTCTTCAGCGTCAAGACCCTGCTGCAGTCGCTTCATCAACGTCAAGATCCTGCTGCAGTCTGGTCTTCAGCGTCAGCAACCTGCTGCAGTCGCTTCATCAACGTCAAAATCCTGCTGTAGTCGGGTCTTCAGCGTCAGCAACCTGCTGCAGTCGCTTCATCAACGTCAAGATCCTGCTACAGTCTGGTCTTCAGCGTCAGCACCCTGCTGCAGTCGCTTCAACATCAAGACCCTGCAGTAGTCGCTTCATCAACGTCAAGATCCTGCTGCAGTCTGGTCTTCAGCGTCAGCAACCTGTTGCAGTCGCTTCATCAACATCAAGATCCTGCTGCAGTCTGGTCTTCAGTGTCAGCACCCTGCTGCAGTCGCTTCATCAACGTCAAGATCCTGCTGCAGTCTGGTCTTCAGCGTCAGCAACCTGCTGCAGTCGCTCCATCAACGTCAAGATCCTGCTGCAGTCTGGTCTTCAGTGTCAAGACCCTGCTGCAGTCGCTTCATCAACGTCAAGATCCTGCTGCAGTCTGGTCTTCAGCGTCAGCACCCTGCTGCAGTCGCTTCACCAACGTCAAGATCCTGCTGTAGTCGGGTCTTCAGCGTCAGCAACCTGCTGCAGTCGCTTCACCAACGTCAAGATCCTGCTGTAGTCGGGTCTTCAGCGTCAGCAACCTGCTGCAGTCGCTTCACCAACGTCAAGATCCTCCTGTAGTCGGGTCTTCAGCGTCAGCACCCTGCTGCAGTCGCTTCATCGTCAAGATCCTGCTGCAGTCTGGTCTTCAGCGTCAGCACCCTGCTGCAGTCACTTCATCAACGTCAAGATCCTGCTGCAGTCTGGTCTTCAGCGTCAGCCGCCTGCTGCAGTCGCATCATCAACGTCAAGATCCTGCTGCAGTCGCTTCATCAACATCAAGACCCTGCGGTAGTCGCTTCATCAACGTCAAGATCCTGCTGCAGTTCGGTCTTCAGCGTCAGCACCCTGCTGCAGTCGCTTCATCAACATCAAGACCCTGTTGCAGTCGCTTCATCAACATCTAGACTCTGCTGCAGTCTGGTCATCAGCGTCCAGCCTATTGTCGCCTCATCTAGTATCACTACCCTGCAACCATGGAGAAGCTTCGGAACGCTCGAGCGAACAGTAAGCGTTCGTTCTCCAGAATCAACAGAAACCTGTTACGGCACATCACAGACAAGGCTGAACCAAGCCTAGTCCAAGACTGCTGGGGAGAGTTGCAGACAGCGTGGTCCGATGTCGAACGGAAGCACAATGACTACGTTTCGCTGCTCTCATCGGAACAGGAGATGGAGAAGGAAGATACCTGGATGGACGAGATGTATGACATCTTCTCAACCACGAAGAAAGCCTTCTTCAGCTTCAACAATGAGACCATGAAGAATGTCAAGGAGGAAACCGGAACCAACGAGCAGAACATCAAACAGCCAGAGATCCAGAAGCTCAAGATGCCGCTGTTCTCCGGAACGCAAGATGATGTGATGTCGTTCAACGATTTCCTCAAGATGTTCGACGATCTCATCGGCAACAACTCGGCCTACAATCAATCGGCTAAGCTGATGTACTTGAAGAGTTATCTGCGTGGGAACGCGCTAGATACCATCAAACACTTGTCAACTGAAGAGAAAAACTACACCATCGCAAGAAAGTTCCTAACCGAGGAATATCTCGACACTGATGTCATCGTGGAGAAACATATCAGGAAACTCCACGACTTACCCCCACCACCTGCAAGAGATTTGCCAGCGCTGCGCGCGTTCTTCAATACTGCTCGCACCTCTGTGTATGAACTCAAGGCGTTTGGATACGACGCACTCGAAGACTGAACTCTTGGAAGCAAAATTATCAGCTTCATCATCTGCAAAAAACTCCCAGTGAACTTCAAGGTAAAGTTGAGCGCAGTCCTGCACACTGACTACCCTTCTACAAGACAACTGCTCGAGAACTTCAACGCCGTGATCAAGTCGTTGATGAAGACGACACCTGCAAAGCAAGAAACAAAACACACCACGGACCTCTCGTCGAAGCCGAAACAGCTCAAGACAACAGAGGTCACCGGCTCAGCCAAACCAGCGAAGTCGTCACTACAACGATTCCAAACCAGTGCCGAGCCGATCAAGAAGGCTCCCAGTCATTCCACATCTAAGTTCAAGGCGTGCAAGCTGTGCGAAGGTGCACACTCCATGCTGAAGTGTTCAGCGTACACATCACCTCGAACACGAATCCAACGCCTCAAAGACCTGGAGCTCTGCACAAAATGCAGTGGATCCCACAAGCTGACGGACTGCAAAAGCCAGACATCAGGTCTCTCGTATCCCTGCACTCTGTGTGGCAGCAAGCAACACATATCAGCAGTGTGTGTCGTCAAACCTGGAGAGACCACGCCACTGCAAAGTGGAATGCGTCTGATCTGCAACAGTCTACAAAAGGGCCAGACGGTCCTCCTCCCGTCCATGACGGTCATCATGCACAACGGCGAAAGAAGTGAGCTGGTTCGATGCATGATAGATGTGGGCTCACAAGCGTCATACATCAGCGAAGAGTTGGCAGTGAAGCTTGGTTGTCCACTGCAGGCACCCAAGACAACATACAAAGTCAAAACGTGCATCGGCGTACAGGAAAAGAACTACAGAGCGGCTACGTCCGACATCATCTTCACTCCAACCGCTTCGGCCCACCACTGCTTCCTGGTTGATCCGGAAATGAGTCTGGAATACGAGATCCCTGGCGTGACGTCCCTGGTGCAGTTCCTGAGAGCCCAAGGAGTGCGTCTGGCCGACTCGTTCTTCAGTCACAGCACCAACGACGTCATCGGTGGCTTCGAATGTCTGCTAGGAGCGGACATCATCGGTGCAATCAAGCCCATGAGAAGTGTAGATCTGGGGACAGGTACTGCCTTCGAGGTACAGGACGGCCTCATCCTCTTCGGAAGCGTCGACGGATACTTCGAGCAGCTGAACCTGAAAGACAACACTGAACATGATGAAGGCACAGACGAAGCTCATGGTGAAGGTGGACCGAGCGACTCAAACGAGCAAGAAGACGATGGCGGAGACAGTTCTCGGAGCGATGACAACGGTTCCGGTGGACGGTCATCACCACTACCAGGCAACGTGAACACAAACAACTCAAACATCAACAGCGTCAAACGCAGCACTCAAACCAGTGGCAACAGGTCTCAGCAAGGAGATTCCTGCATGCTACAAGGCACGGACATTCAGCGACCAGTCAACATGGAACCGAAGTTGACAGACAAAGAAACTCAAGCAGATGCTACAAACGAACAACACACACAAACACTCAGTTCGGACACAGCTGAGTCACAAACTCAAACCGACACACACTCTACCGTCGAACAACAACCACAAGTCCTCCGTCAGGGGGCAGTCGAACAACAAATTCAAACGCAAACAAACAAAACAACAAACTCGAGACAACGTCTCAAAAACTCAACAGCCGATCTCCTTGTTCCAGATAGATCTACACGTGGGAAACAGGAAGGTGAGACATCGACACATCTGTTGGTGCAGGCAACACTACATCCTAAAACTTCATACTTCCACCCACTGGCCCACGTATCAAGTGACAGTGACGTGGATCTCCAGCTTGAGCATCTCTTCAGCATCGAGAGCCTTGGCATCCGAGAGACAGATGAAAGTGTCTCGGCTCGAGAGCGCAGACTGGTAGAGGAATTCTCCAACGAGGTGGAGCTGAGGGACGGCAAGTACTTCGTCAGGGTACCGTTCTACGACAGCGTCACCAAGGTTCCTGGAAACCACGACATAGCTCTCGCGACAATGAAGAAGGTGCGAAACAAGCTCGCCAAACGCGACCTCGCAGATTCATACACCGCAGTCTTCGAGCAGCAACTCCGAGACGGCATAATCGAAGAGGTCGATTACAACAAACCAAGTACCAACCAGAGGGTGTTCATCCCGCATCACCCTGTGGTGAAAACCGATGCACAAACCACTACAAAAATCCGTCCAGTCTTCAACTGCAGTTTGAAGATCGGAGATCGGCCATCACTCAACGAAGCATGCTTCAGAGGTGTCGACCTGCTGAACGACCTGGTCACCCTCTTGATGAAGTTCCGCACAAACAAGCACATTCTTCTTGCTGACATCGAGAAGGCGTTTCTGCAAATATATCTGAAGTACGAAGAGGACAAGGACAAGTTCTGTTTCCTCTGGGAGACGGATGACGGTCTGAAGATGTACCGCTTCCGTACCATCCTCTTTGGCCTCAACTTACCGTTCATTTTGAGCCACATCATCCAGATTCATCTGTCCAAATACTCGACAACGATGGCGGCTGTACGTGGACAACTTCATATTCTCGACATCCGACGAAGGAAAACTTCTAGACATCTACCGCGACGCCACCCAGATTATGAAAGAGGGAGGTTTCAACCTCAGGAGCTGGATGTCCAACTTCTCTCCACTTGTCGACATCATGATGTCTGACAACATGGTCAACGAGCACGGCGCCGTCACAGAGAAGGTGCTGGGATACTTGTATGACGCCAAACAAGATACAATATCACTATCCGACTTCAACTTCGAAGAAAACCAACAGGGCATCACAAAACGTCAACTTCTGAGCAACGTCAGTAAGGTCTTCGACCCGCTGTCTCTTGCACTGCCAGTCACCATCAGGGGAAGAATCCTCATGAAGCAGGTGTGGACCGAAGGGACAGCATGGGACGAAGACGTGTCGCCGGCTGTGCTAGCCGAGTGGCAGCGACTGAAGAAGGATCTCCTGTCTTTGCGTGAGTTCCAGTTCTCAAGAGAAACCGGTGACACTGAAAGTGGCCAACCAACAGACCTCCATCTCTTCTGCGACGGGAGCAAGACATCCTACGGGTTCGCTTGCTATCTGAAGCAGGAGGGCTCAGACCCTCAACTGGTCTTTGCCAAAAGCAAGCTCGCACCAGATAACAGAAGCATACCACAGATGGAGCTGCTGGCGGTGTTCCTCGCTCTGAAGTGCCTGCCACTCATCATCGACTCCATCAACGCTTCCATCCGTCACGTCCGTCTCTGGAGTGACGCACAGGTGGTGCTCGAGTGGCTTGCATCTGGATGCAAGTCAAAGAGCAAGTTCACTGCAAACCGTCTTGAAGACATCACAGCCATGAAGTTGAAACTCCATCATCAGCATCAAGTTGAAGTCACTCATCACTACGTTTCTACTGACAGCAACGTGGCTGACATGCTCACACGGGGCCTGTCTGCGAAGGAGTTCCACAAGAAGCTGGCCGTCTGGTGTCACGGACCAGACTGGCTGGGAGATCATCCTGAGCAGTGGCCCAAGAGTCCTCTTCACTGCCTGTCGGAAGAAGGGAAAGTCATGGTTGAGCTCCAACAACATCATCAACAGGTGGAGATCAACACTGAAGCACAAACGCCCGCGACTCAGATTATTCTCAGCATCAAGGACTTCTCTTCTCTTCGAAGACTGCATGGGGTGACGGCTCGAGTGTTTCACTTCGTGAACGTGCTGAAGCACAGGGAGGCTGATGCCAAGGAGCAAGCAACACACTACTGGTTGAAGGTGATGCAGGAGAATGCGTTCACTGAAGAGATCAGCTACCTGCAAGACAAACAAGAGAACAAGTTAGTCAACTCAGCCTCAGTACCCAAGCTGGTGAAGGAATTGAATGTCTTCATAGACAAGTCAGGTCTGCTAAGATGCAGAGGACGCTTGTCGAAACTTAACCGATACTCATACGCTGTACACAATCCCATTCTCCTGGATAAAACCCATCGGCTGACAACGCTCATGATTGAAGATCAACACCGACGATGCAAACATCTGGGAGTCGGCACGACGCTCACAGAACTGCGAGAGCACGGGTACTGGATCCCAAGTGGTCGTCAGGTCGTCAAGCGAGTTCTGAAGGACTGCATCACGTGTCAGAAGCTGAACGCATTGGCTTTCGAGTACCCGAAGATGACGAACCTCCCAAGAGAACGAGTCAGTCTGATCAAGCCATTCTGCAACACAGCAATCGATTACACTGGACACATCTTAGTTGAAGACACGAATGGAGAGATGAGGAAGATGTACATTGTACTGTACACCTGCCTTGCCATTCGCTGTGTACATCTCGACCTTGTCCCCGACTTAAGCCTGGGTTCGTTCCTGCAGTCATTCAGACGATTCTGCAGCACATACGGCGTGCCAGAGTTCTTGTATACCGACAACGCTAAACAGTTCCTTGCAAGCCAGAGGGTATTGATCAATGTATTCACCTCAGACGAGTTTCAAGAATATCTTACTGAACAAAGCATCAAGCACAGCACCATCCCGGTTTACGCCAGCTGGGTTGGCGGAGTCTACGAGAGACAAATCAAGACGGTAAAGCACTGCTTATACAAGACAGTAGGAAGAGCCAAACTTGGTTACTTCGAGCTCCTCACACAGCTCAGCGAGATACAAAACATGGTCAATAGCCGACCGATCACTTACGTCTACAGTGAGATTGATGATATCGAGCCGTTGACACCCAACAAAATACTCAAGCTACACACAAACCCGAGACTCCAGCTGGTGGACAGTTCACACGCAACTGACCCGCTGTGGGTTTCGACGCCTCAAGATGTTCACCAACAACTCAACAAAACCCTGCACGAGCAGCAACATCTTCAAGAGCACTACAAGAGCATGTGGTACCGTGAGTACTTGCTTGGTCTACGCGAGAACTCGCGAGACCTATTCCACACAGACTGGGATGACAAGATTGCTGTCGGTGATGTCGTCCTCATCAACACCAAGAATAAGCCTAGAATGTTCTGGCTAATGGGAAGAGTCCTACAGCTTCTGCATGGAGATGACGGACGTGTGCGTCAAGTGCTCTTGAAGACGAGCACAGGACGCATTGAACGCTACGCCATATCGCACCTCTACCCGCTGGAGCTACAGAGTACCCACACAGGTCAAGACAGCACAGATGGCAGCACCAGGTGCCCTGATGAGCCGACTACGCACAACACCGAGACCGAGTCAAGCCCAGAGACATCAGAGAGGGCTGCGAGACCTCCACGAAGAAGGGCAGCCATCAAGCAAACCGAGATGGTCAAGTCCCTGCTACAATCAGGCAGCATCTAATCAAACTGTCAAACGAATGCTAAACCCTGTTTAGCATCAGTCCGTGGGAGGGTGTAGAAATTCCTTTGCAAAACACTAAAAACCAGCCACTCTACCTCCCCCTCTCCTACCGGCTCCTCCCCTCCCCCCGCCACGCGTTGGACACTGGGCCGGGCTGGGCGGCGGATCAGGCGACCGGTCAGCTGACCTGCCCCCGGGCGATGAGCACGTGACTGGAGTCCGCCCGCAGCCGCCCGCCTGAGCCATGGAGAGGGCAGTCGCTGTCTGTTACCGGTTGGAGCCATATGTGTTCACGACTGATTTGTGCCTGAATTCACCTATTACAAATATACTCATCAAGAGATACCTACCTACGAGAACATCGAGTGATCTACCTACGCGGTTCGTCCCGGCAAACCTACGCGGGGAAGTACCAGTGAGACCGACCAAATCACAGGACCGACGACTTCGATACAAGATCTACGTCAAGGTAAGCCCGGCCTGTGTCTGTGGCGGTCCAACTTTCGCCTCGAATTCTCATCCCTACATCATTACCCTGTCAAAACCAACGTCAAAGAATAATTTTCTGTGTGCCCCTCGTACAAATCCGTACAGTCAAGCTTTGTTTTTCACCGTAATTCTCGTAAGCTTAGACTTAAGCCATAAATGAAGACCATTTTTTAGGTTAGGGGTTCAGTGGAATGTATGAAATTGAAATGCCGTCATCGTCAGGCTACGGAGAGGAGACAGTGTCAGCTAATTCCACTGAAAAACTGATTCCCATTTGTTTTCTCCCCAGGCGTGTCTGGATGATGGCGGACCCACCTCATCTAATCAAGAGGCTCCGAAACAACCTGCTCGACAGAGGCGTCCGGACCAAGAACGGCGCAGTTCTCGACCGCGAGCTGATGCGTGAGATGATCGCCATTGATGGCAACGCAGAGTACCGGCTTCTGCACAAGCTGCATCTGCAGACACATGTTGAGGCAAATAAGTTAAAGGTGATTGAGGCAGCGTTGGAATTGTGGCTTCTTTCTGGTCCCGGCGTTTTATTTTCCGGGTGGGTTAGCTTCGTCCAGCTTTTCGGGGCCCGCTTAGGGCCGCGGTTGTTTTCGCCGCTCGCCCCAGTGGAGACATAAAGTTGATAGTGACGCGAAGCTTATTTAAGGCCTCTGAATATACGAATTCGAAATAAATCGCTTCTACAAAGCCCATTTACAGGGTGTCCCAAAAAAATGTACCTCATTTGAAATGGAGATATCTCAGTGTCTGAGCATATAATGATCCTAAATTTGGTGCCATATGAAAGCTCATTCCATAGCATTTTGTTTGATATAAACTATTTTAGTGTACGTTACGAGACAGCCGAGTGATAACGGAAGAGCAAAATCCCTGCAATTTCGCTCTTCAACTATTTCCACAGGTGTTTCTGGGAAAAAGCTTTCAATTGTTTTGCCGATATTTTCAGCAACTCAGAAGAAAACAATTAGAAATATTGAAACTAGGTTTCATTCATGCATTGCTAACATAACAAACTCACATCGCATCACATCCCAGTTAAAGGTTCAGCCGTGCTAACGCTCGAAGTGCCCTCCCTTTTGCTCGGCACACATGGCGGAGCGTCTTTAGGACTCTTGGGCTACGCGGGCACATGTTTCAAGCGGTTTTTTCCGGATGCATGTCCGGGTCGAGTTCCTCAGCTGGTCCAGAGTTTGAGGATTCTTTGCGTGTACCACACTCTTGTGGAACCCCTACAGATAAAAGTCAAGAGGCGATAGGTCTGGGGAGTGTGGCGGCCAACTAACGTTGGCACGCTGGGATATGATCCGATCACCCATGCGCTCGTTGAGCCAGACCATCGTTGATCTCGGAAGTGTGTGGAGGAGCCCCGTCCTGCTGTAGCCATTGGAGGCTGATGGACGATGGTGTTCACACATTTTTTGCACACTTGTGGGACGAGCTTTTTTGTTTGTTTTGAAGCTATCCTTTAATTTCCGCTGTGTTTGCACCACAGAGCCGGTTTGGGGGTAGGATTTTGCAACTTGAATCCTTTCCTCCTTGCTCAGTTGCCCCATTGGGCAAAATTAAAGATGTGGAGCATTAATTGCCATGAAATTAGCTTTAATGAAATATATGATAGCTATCATCACGAGCGTATTTTCTGAGATGTCTTCAGTTGACATGAGACACAATTTAGAAAGACTTGTGGCAGTAATTCAAGTGCGAAATTCCAAGGGTTTTGCTCTTTCGTTATCACTCGGCTGTCACGTAACGTACAGTAAAATAGTTTATATCAAACAAAATGCTATGGAATGAGCTTTCATATGGTACCAAATTTAGGATCATTGTATGCTCAGACACTGAGATATCTTAATTTTAAATGAGGTACATTTTTTGGGGACACCCTGTATGTCATCTATATGCATACATTAACCCTAGAACGCCTAGGGGGGGGGGGGGTTGTATCAACCCCCCCTGAGGTTTTTTCGAAGTGCACGCTAAACGGCTTGTCGTAGCGGGCTGAAATTTTCAATACCCTCTGGGGCAACCTTTGCGCATCTTTTGCCGAAACAAAATTGATCGGGTCATGTCAGGTCACGGAGTTATGACGTCATAAGAGGTACAGCCTCCGGCCGACAGTTACCAAACGTGTGCGCCGAATCCCTAGGTTTTCTGCCGGTGATACCCACATTGTTTGATGGATCATGATGAAACTTCCCATGCATGTTGGGGCAAGCATTGGCTATCGTGTGGTGCAAGAAAATTGACCGGGTCAGGTCAGGTCACGGAGCTATGACGTCACAAGAGGAACAGCGTCCGGTACTATTTTTGAAAAGCGCCCGAACCACTATTTTGCAAATTCTTGTCACCTCAATGGGAATATGCAGCAATATTAGCTTCTATAGGGAGCAAATGGACCTCCCAAATCCAAAAATACAATCAGATTTCAAAAATTTGAATTTTGATTTTTCGAATTTCTGCCGCCGACTGTGACCTTGCCGACTTCCGGCGCTCCCAACGCGCTATTTTCAGAGCTAGTGAAACGAAATACATACCAAACGATAGAGAATTGATCAAGGAACACGATAGTGAAGGTTTCAAGTCGATATCTCCCACCGTTTTGCCGCAATCGCCGCGGAAAGTTGAAAAAAGTCTATTTTTCCGAAAATTTGACCTTTGACCGGTCATAAGTAGGTCAAATGTTGACCTAGGACCAAAAAATATACCACCAATCGCGAGATCTCGTTGAGAGCAATCCGTTGGTTTTTTTCCGCTAAGCTCTACGACCTTCCGTTTCGAAACGCCAGGGGGGTCGTAACAACCCCCCCCCCCTGGTCGTTCGTGTTATGAGAAATGACCTGGTCGTGCGAGGGTTAAACAATAATTTCGGACTGGGCTGGTTTAGCGGGCCATTAATAGGCTTCGTGTGACTGTTAACTTTGCATCTCGACTGGGGAGAGCGGCGAAAACACCCGCGGCCCTGAGCGGGTCCCAAAAGGCTCAACCTTGGACGGGGTTAACCCACCCGGAGAGTAGAACGCCGGGACCAGAAAGGCCACGATTCCAACGCTGGATTGAGGTTCCCAATGTTGTGGTCTGTGGATCAGCTAGCACGACTGGGTGGTGGATAATCTCCATGGCCCATTCTGTTAGTGTCGTACTTTGAAGACAATTGCAATTCACCTTTTGCTCATCACTGCTAAAAATTTAAAAGAAAATAACCAACAAAGATTCGTGAGTGGCACTTCATCAGAGGTTTTTATTCACAGCATTTGGAAACATACTCGTGGTCAAAGTGTTGGCAAATGTGTTTCCGAGCCAACGAGCATTGTCTTGCATCCCCAGGTCAGCGGCCTCGCTCGGCAGAAGGTCCGGCCTGCGATGCAGCTGCTGAGTGCTTCAAGCGCCCTCGCCCTGAGCCGCTACATGGACAAGGAGGAAGAGGCTAGGCTCCTACGGATCGTCGACGATGGATTCGATGTCTTGAACAGTGGTCACCCGGGCGATACTAAGCCTCTCCGACGAGGCTACTCGGCTGGGCCGGAGCAGGAGGCGGCCCTCTCGGCCCTGGCCGAAGAAGCTGCTACGCTGCGGATCGGAGCGGCTCGTCACCTCTACCCGTTTCAAAAGGGCATATTGGTGACGGTGCAGTCCGTCCGTGGACTGCTCGCTGACATTCGGGAGCGGTGCGGAGCGGATACCTACATCCTGACAAGGCATCTATCACAGGATCGCCTAGAGAGCTTCTTCGGCATGGTTCGCGGATGCGGTGGTTCAAACCTGAACCCGACCCCGACCGAGGCCAAGTCGCGGCTCCGCCTCCTCACCATCCTCATCCTGACTCAACATGGTGTGAGCCCTCTCCGCAAGGATGCGAGGGCTCCCATAGCACCGGCCGGAGCTGATGCGGCTCTCACGGACGAGGCTCTAGCCGTTCAAGTGTCAGAACTGTATGAGGAGTGTGACGACGAGGACAGGGACCAGCTCCCCGAGGAGATCGAGGTGCTGGTACCAGAGCCTGCCGTTGAAGTGGACATCATCGAGGACGACGAGGACATTGCCGAAATGGAAGCATTGCTTGAAGAAGCAAGCTGTTGCCGAGCCCACCCATCGAGCACTAGCGGTGCTGTCGACAAGGAGACGGGGGTAACGGCATCCGACAGTGCCATGGCCCATGTGGCGGGATATGTGGCCCGGAAGCAGGGCCCATCCCTCGGCGCTCCGTCAGCCTTCGCAGAGGACCTCCCCGTCCAAGCGCTATGGACCCGACTGAGAAGCGTTGGTGGCCTGACCATCCCAACCCAGGAGTTCCCGATCAAGTTCCGACAGATGGATGCTGAGTTTTGCACGCAACACGCCATGCACCCCGACGGTCTGAGCCGCCAGCCCGGGGTCATCAGGGACACCATCAAGATGCTGCGCGACAAACACCCCGACCTGAGCGGGGACGTCGTGCGGACGTTCGGGCGTGTCCGCACCTTCATCCGCCTTCGTAACGTCAATGGAGAAAGGCGAATGGA